GAGAGAGAGAGAGAGAGAGAGAGAGAGAGAGAGTATGAATCATGTTGGACTGGCACTCCCAAAGGCCATACCCAGCACTGCTGATGGGAAGGGATTATGGGGGCTGCAGTCTACAAAGTGTACACCCAGCACTGCTTTAAGGGAGCACCACCCGCGCAGGAGGGATGCGAGAGTTGCTCAAGGGAGGGCGCAAGACTTGGCCCATGATCCCCCCTCCTCTTTCCAAATTGTGTGCGTGCAAAATTTATACATACCTTGAGTTAAATATTGAATGTACTTCAATAAAACCATTCTAATTTGAACAATGTTATTTCCTTATATAATGTCAAACTATGAATATATATGAATGTGTGAATGAAAATATGGACACTAAATAAACAAATGCAGTCGGCCCTCCACATTTGCGGCTTTGGCTTTTGCGGCTTTGGTTATTCATGGATTTGATTAATATGTTCTCTCTAGGAATTTCTAGGTCCTCCAGCATGACTCTGTGGTCAGCATCCACCATATGTCACGCTGGAAAACATTGCAATTTCTGGAGAGAACAATTCTGTAGGTCCTCCAGTGCAATTGTGTGGTCAACTTCTACCAGATGTTGACCACAGATGTGCACTGGCAGACCTAGAGATTCCTAGAGAGGTAACCTTTCAGGTTAAAAAAAAGTGTTTTTTTTTTATTTCCAGTTTTTCCACTTTCATGAGGGTCCTGTACCCCTAACCCCTGAGAATGGGAAGGACCCACTTTATTTTTATTCATACAGTTGACCCTCCATTTTCATGGAACTGAAGTCTGCGACCTTCACTTATCCACAAGGGACAAATGGAGGGGCATAAAATGGGGTGCGCCCCCATGGACACGCACCTCCACTCAAACCAATAGGGCTTGAATATTTGCAGTCCGGAATGGATCCCCTGTGCAAAAGGAGCAACAACTGTATACTACATTGGGGGGTGGGGGTGAGCCCATATGTAGATGTAAAGTGGGGTACCAAGAGCAAAAAGTCTGAGTGCCACTGCCATAAACGGACAACACCGTGCCTAATTTGTGGACTTCTTTCTTCCTTCATCTTTACATCATCTGGTCTGATGAAGGGTTCTGCAAAACTCGAAAGCTTGCACATTCCTGAGGCATCTAGGTGTGTCCCAATGAAGGCACTCACAACACACAACCCCTGACCCCATGAAACTAGGATGCCCCCTCTGCCCTGTCCTTGGTGCAATCCCATCTTTATGGCTGCGATGGAAACACTCACCTGCCACTGCCTTCTCTGGAAGGACTCCATCCTCTTCTTTCTTCTTCCCTCGTTTTGGCATCGCAAGTGCCCCGCAGCTGGGTCCGACCCTAAGCAGCTGGCAGCTGAGTCTTGCAAGCTGCAGGCTCCTAGACAGCAACGTCTCCTGGGAAGAAAGCAGAAATACTGCTAATGGCACCCCATTTCCATCAAAACAAGGACCCTCCAGGACCGGAGTAGCAACTCACAACTACCCTGGCAATAATAGTATGTGCAACCACTTTCCATTCAGCAATATACTGGCTCAGAGAACATCACTTTTGTCAATGGTACAGATGGAAGAACAATATAACTCCCAGTATTTCACAGAAGAAAACCAGAGCATGGGTGGCCAACCACCACCAAAGTGTGGTCAAGATGCGCTTGTGTTGTTTGCCTTTAAGTCATTTCCAACTTATGGTGACCCTGAGGCAAACCTATGATGGAGATTTCTTGGCAAGGTTTGTTCAAAGGAGGTTTGCCATTGCCTTCCTCTGAGGCTGAGAGTGTGCGACTTGCCCAAGGGCACCCAGTGGGTTTCATGGCCGTGCCGGGAATCAAAGCCTTAGGGTTGCCCTAAGTCGGAAATGACTTGAAGGCACAAAAGAGCCAATGTGGTGTAGTGGTTAGAGCATTGGATACAACTCTGGAGACTAGGGTTCAAATCCCTGCTCAGCCATGGAAACCTACTGAATGAGCTTGGGCAAGTCATGCTCTCTCAGCCTCAGGGGGAGCCAAAGGCAAACTCCTTCTGAACAAATCTTGCCATGAAACCCCTGTGATACCTTAGGGCTGCCCTAAGTTGGAAATGACTTGAAGATGCACAATGACAACTCTAAATCAGGGCAACGGTGGAAGACTAGGGAGCTACATTAGTCCCCTAGAAGACTTAAGAGAGCTGCACCCACTCCCATTAAAAAAAAAAATCTAAATTTTTGCCCCCAAACTCTCTCTAGGGGACAAGGGAGTCACTTTCGCCATGCTGTAGACCCAGGAGAGACATACAAATGAAATAAATAATTAAGATCCTTTAACTAGAGAGAAAATAAATTGAACACTTGGCTCTTTAGCTGCATTTGGCCTTTTTTACAGCCATTGACACTCTTCCCACAAAACGCAAACGCCCTTCCTCCAAACCGTACCTTCTCTGCAGAAGAGGCATCAAATTGGGGAAACCTGACTTGGCAGCAATATCCGCAAAAAGGGGACAAATGTCTGAACTGACTTTGAAGCGCATGCAAACTAGCAATTTGGTGTGGCAGCTAAGGAAGCGAACGCAGCCATGCGCCGCTTTATCAGGAGCACAAGATCGGAGGCATGACAAGTAATGAGCCCAATTAGGATAAAAGCATTCTCCTCCCTTGCTCAATTTGCTATCATGTGAGAGGGACAGCAAAGAAAATCCCATTAATCTCATATCCTGAGTCACAGGCTTATTATTTCCATTAATTACAT